TTTAGAGATCACACCTCTGTAAGGAGCCCGGCTGGTAGGGTGGGTGATGTATTGAGCTACTAACCTCAAGAGGAGTAGTTCAGAACCACCAGAGACTCTCTCTCCAAGGGAGAAAGAGGAGGAGTTACAGCCTTGGACACCGCAGGGGCAGTTCCGCCCTGTCCTGGAAGGTGGCAAGGAGCCAGAGTCGGCTTGGCAGCAGTGTGTTTGGCGTGGAAGCCACCACAAGACCAGCGGCGATGTAGTCTTGTCTAGTTCTCCTCTGCTCCTGGCAGGGTCCAAACTTAGCCTGTCCGCGTCTTCCAGCCATTATTATTTTGAGAGGGGAGTGTATATGCATCAGAAATCAAAAACAGCTGCACAGAGCCAAAACAGGTTCCCGCTCCCACCATTCTGCAAGCCTGGGTGCCCCTTCCGCAGGGTGTCCCTGGGGAATGGCAGGGAAGACACATGCCTGGACACCCCACCCCCCTTTTTGAGGTGGAGGGGCCTGGGGATGGACCAGACAGGACACCTCCGATCAGTTTCTATTCTCCACCTGACTTTTCCTTTGCCAGCTGAGAGGGCTCCAGCAATTTCGAGCTAATTGCCACAGGCCCTGTTTTCCAAAGCGCTGCCTCTTCCTTCCAGTCCCTTCTGCTTGCAAAGGAGGGTTCAGCTGTGCACAGCTTCTTGAATGGACCACTGAACAGGGACTTGGGGGCTCTTGTGGTGTGGGGAGGGCCTCTGTCCCTCCCCAGCCGCCAGCCCGGCTGCAGCCATCACAGGGAGCTAATCAATCGGACACTTTCAAATATTTATGAAACGCTGATGGATTTTTCTCGGTCTGCAGTTGTAGCTTTCATGGAATTTGGCTTTATTAGCCAGGAAGTCAATATTTTCCCTGGGCCATCTCGGAGATGCCCGCCCGCCCGATCCCCTGCCATGGCCCCAGCTGCTCCTGCGGGGTCACCTTCTCACGGGTTTCTGGAGACTGCTCTGCCATTGGGTGTGGAAGGACAGAGTGACCAGGGCTGGCTTTAGGGGTGGAGACTCTCTGCAGTCTCCCCCTGAGGCCTCAGGCAGGTCAGTTCCCTCCCTGGGCCTCAGTACTTGATCTGTAAGATAGGAGGTAAGGCCTGCCATGGAGTTCCACGATTCCTGTGTTTAGGGCACAAAAGAGACCCCAAGCTCAAACACAATGGAAGGAGAACATCTATTAAGCCTTACAAGGGACACTGCACAAAGACACAGACCCACCCCCTGGATGAGGGAGGTCATTAGCATGAGATCTGCATGGCGCCCGAAGGTTCACTGTCAGGAGGCTAGTTCAGTAAAGCATCGGACAAAGGAAACTCAAAAATGCATCGTTGGTGGCAGATGAACCCATCACAGTTACAGGTAGGAGTACAGAAATGGGAACAGGGTCCGTATGGGGACCCAGACGCGATGTTAGAGAAAAGAGTTTACAAGATTGGGCCAGGGTCTTCTGACCAAGGCAGTCAGGGTATGACTAATAGAGTATGACTGATGGCCAGGTACCCCCAGTACGGTCCATCAAGGACACTCCCAGGCAAGCCCCTAAGAGAGACTGCCCCTGCCTGGACTGGCTGGAGAGGGGTGAAGGTAATCTACTTTCTGAGGCACTCTGCCCGAGGGCAAGACGACCTCCTTCCTGGGTTCATGAATGGGAGGGTGCATTCAATGAAGGTTTACTCTACATGGGGACTCTGCAAATAGTGGGGTTTTCCCTGCCATCCATAACCTTGTGCCGACGGAGTGCTCAGAATGTAAGCTCCCATACACTGCTTTTTGTGCCAACGGAGTGCTCAGAATGTAAGCTGAGCATACAAAGCTCCCATACACTGCTTTTTGCTCCAGAGGAGCCTCTGAGACCGCCCCAACTGAGGAACCCCTAAGTGCAGGGCTGCCTCTTCTCTTTCTCTTTGGGCTCTGGGGGCGTGGTTGATTGGTTATGGGGGTCGTGATCTGGAAGGTCAGCAGTTAGAACCCAGCAGGCACTCCTAGGGGGGGTGGGGAATAAAGCAGTCTGTTCCTTTAAAGAATTACAGTTTCAGAAACCCTAAGGAGCAGTCCCATTCTGTGCTATAGGATTTTGATATGAGGCCGAATCCACTCGGTGACAATTGGGGTGTGGGTTTTGAAAGCATCTTCCAAAGGGAGAGCTTGGGCTCTGGCTCTTTCTCCTTCACACAACAGCAGGATCCAAGCTCTGTTCTTCTGGGAAGAGGCTGCCTGTGCAGGCTCCAAGGGTACTGGTTTGGGAGCCAGGATCCCTGAGCTTGTCTCAACTTGTCCCTAGCTCATGACTTGGTGGGAGCAGCTGTTCCCGGGCTGATGAGTTCCCAGAGAGGGGTGAGGATGGGCCCAGAATGTGACTGATGGATGATGGTGAAAACAGAGCTGACATTTCCACAGCCCCGAGGCCAGAGCCAGGAGCAGCAGGGAGAGCTAATGAACTTGACGAGGTGGTGGTAATGGTGGCAGGGAGTCGATAATACTGAGGAAGGAGCAGCCTCACAGCTTCTAGAGCGATGGTACCATTTTTACTGATAAAGGTGCCCTCTTGGCATGGGGGAGTTGAGGTCAAGTATTCTGTATTCTTACCTCTGTCCAGCCTTTTGAAATACCCACACGCATTCATGTATATATAGATATATATTTAATTTTTATTATCTGAAACTACTATCACATATAGTCAAATAATATATTTTCACCACAAAAACTCAAATAGACAAGTGTCTCACAGAAGTGTCCTTTCTCTACCTGGTACCCTCTGTCCACTGCTAACCATCTTGAATCACCTGATATACACAGTGTGGACTTCCCTCCACACGTTTACAAGCAAAAGGTCTATATACGCTCAGATGCGATGATTTTTCTCAACATGAGCAGGGTCCTGTTGGATCATCTTGGGAGGAGCGGTGGTGGTTCGGGGTGGGAATCTAACCTTCCAGGTGGCAGACCTGGGTTTGAGTCCTGGCTGATGTCCCTCATGCACAGCACCATCCCATCTGTCAGTGGAAGCTTGTGTGTTGCTATGCTACTGAACGGGTGTCAGCAGAGCTTCCAGACTAGGACAGACTAGGAAGTCAGGGCTGGCAATCTCCTTCCAAAAATCAGCCAAGGAAACTTTTTTTTTTTTTTTTTTTAACATTTTATTAGGCGCTCATACAACTGTTATCCCAATCTATACACACATCAATTGTGTAAAGCACATTTGTACATC